AAAATAAACTAAGCATCCACTGGAAGGAATCCCAATATCTGCAGACGGATCCGTTTCGGCCTTCCGGGCCTCATCAGTGCAGCTGGGTACAGACCCAAACGAAACGTCCGACCAGCTTAGGTAGTGCCTAAACTAGTCCCACGACCACTAATGATTACAGAGCCAAACCAAGACAATATATATACACAGCCCAGGTGTGAATGCAAATAGTGGAATACAAGCTATACGGCTCGGTTCCAGTAGATACAGAGAATATTTTGTCATTCTTAACGCGTCCTACAAAATTCTTACGAGACAGCACTAGTCCGTGAATTTGTGAACAAGATCGGAGATCTAAAGATGCAATCTCTACCGTGCATCAATGGCGGCGCTGGATCTCAATAGAGATTCTTAAATAATATACAAGTTTGAAAGGCAAATGGGAAAAACCCATAAAACAGCAAACGGCCATATAATGCAAAACAATTTAAAATTAAAATTAAAGCGGAACAGTAGAGAATATATATATATATAGGCCTATAGTGTAAGAATAGTGTGTGGTCATATATTATATATAGATATATATATAATATTTTATATTATAAATATAGCCGTTAACACTGTAATATGTCACTTGCAGAGTGCTCCATGGTAATTAACAAAAAGCGAATTAAAGCAAAAATTAGAGGTTCAGTAGAGGTTTGATTAGGCATTTCATTACTATTTAGTTTTGTGCTGCACATACACGATGCTATACTCTTCACCTATATAATTTTCACATGGAAAAAGTTGAAGAAAAAATTATGTAAATATTATGTTTACTTCAGATTTTTGTTCAGATTTTTGTTTAGTGTTTTAAGAGGTATAAAATAACATCAATATCTTCAACATGAATACATAGGCCTTATGGTAGTCCCTTGTCTTTGGGGGAGATCGGCTACCCTCTAATCGGGCTGAGAGACCACTTTTAGCCCAAGTAGAATTTATTATTCTACACCGAGCCCCAAGAGCCCAGCAGTTGAGGTCCCGCAAATGGTCTCATAATTGGGGTGGGCAACTGTATGCGAATATAAAGATGCTATTTGTATAACCAGACCTCTACACAGAAAATGGCAATAGAGACTTACAATATTCTAATTGTCAACTTAAAAAGCCCGATCGAAAAAAAAAACTACTTAATACAGCAAGTTTTAATGTATTAACCTGTGTTGTAGGCTATCCATTTAAAGTTAAAATTGTTTCCATTTACGTAGAGTACTTAACAAAATAACATGTACAGTGCACCCTCTAATTCGAGACCCCTCTAATTTCGAGACCCCTCTAATTTGAGATCATTTTTCCAAAGACCCCAAATAACAATCTTCAACCTTTTAACACAAAGCTAGCCCTCTAATTGGAGACCAACCCCGAGACCACCCTAAATTTTCAGGTCCCGAAGGTGGTCTCGAATTGGAGGGCGAACTGTATTGATATACAAATTAAAACTTTATGACAACTTTGAGCAATAGGCCTAACCATCTACAAAATATATAATTTTAGATAAACACGTTTGCATAATAATCGGATATTAAGCAAGCACGTTAAATAAGGCTACTGTATTATATTGTTTGTTCTGTTTCATTTTCCGTAGAATATTTGGTTAAGGAACACCGGTATCTGTATTGTTGGACATAATCCGTTTACGATTGTACCAGATCAATGCAGTAATCACCAAAATTACAACGATGATACCGAGAACAACAAGAACGATAGTTAGGGTGGGTGTGTCTTCCTTGTTTGGACTGTCATCATGGTCTCCTGGATCAGGTCCTTTCGTTGGGCTCTCTGGTAAAATGCCTTTTATTTCAACGGTTACTGTGAACGGCTTATCAAACTCATTATAAGCTACCCCGCACGATATCGTCTCTAAAAGATCCTGCTGTCCAAAATTTAAAATAGTCATAACATTTCCCACCGCATTAACACTAAATCGCCCACTGGCCAGACTAGTAGTAAACGAGAGAATTTTCAGTGGGAGATCTCCAACAGCACTACAGTTAAACTTAACATAGGTGCCAAACTTCACTAACCCATCAGGAATTATATCAATAATTGGTTCTATGGGGAATGGTATGACTTGACATGATTCTTTAATATCTAACACTGGAATGTCAATCTCGCAACGGAACGTTTCTCCGCGATCAGGTTCTTGAAGGGTTAGCTGTAGATCCAACGTATCCACTTCTGTCATATTGGAATTGACTACCTCACCCCTGAACCATGTGATGTGTGGGTTAGGGTCTCCCCCCGCCGCCGAACATTCAAGTGACACGCTGCTTCCTATGACTGGGAATATGATGGTACTTGCGTAAACTATATTGCAGACAGGAGAACTGGGCTTAGTTATGACATCGATGAAGGCAGAAGCAAGGTACACGTTTGCGCTCCCGTCTCCACGATTATCCGCATATCCACAGTCATATTCCCCTTCATCGGCGTAGCTAAGATTTCGTATGGTTAAGTTATACCATTCATTATCGTCAACGGTAAGCGTGTACCTCATCCGTTTGTCGGCATTCGTTGTTGCGAGTGCAGAATCCCGTGTTAATATCTCGTTTGAATCTTTATGAAACCAAACGATCTGTATGTTAAGCAAATCAACAAACTGACAGCTTAATGTAACATCGTTACCAGTTAATCCGGTGAAGTTGTCCGGAGTTTGAAGAACAGCCGCTGCTGTTATGGAGTCGAGCAAACAGCACTTAAATAAGAACACAACAACTAGAATCGACGACATTGTTTTGATGTATCCAAACAAATACTAGTACAGTCTGATGAAAACGAACAATACAGTAAATTCCGGTTGCAAAAGTTGCAAATCCCTTTTCTAGGATTTATTGTCAGGGTTGAATCCCACGTCACCGATTGTAACCGCAATCACAAACTAACAATACGATAATATTAGTCTACCATTGTAGGTTAAAAAAATATTCAATGACGTGCCAAAAATATCACTGTATTCTACTTAAAATTCTTATAGGCACATCGGACCATTATTCCTCCATGATCGGACTAAGCAGAAAAAATGCAGGAAATGTTTAGAGAAAAGGACATGACCTCAAAGGCCTAACTGACATGTCATATCGGTACAGTCTAGTATTGTTTTGTGTAGTTTTAGTACCGTCTTGAACTTTACAGATAAATTGTATCGTGGGATTTCCCTAGTCATTTTTATGGACTGGACGATCACGATTTTTGCCGACGTGAAAATGTAGGGGACAAGACTGGTGTCTGAAACGGCCCCCCTCCCCACCTGTTCTGCTGCCACAGTTTCGGCACGGGAGATACGGGGGGGGGGGGGTGGCGTTTTGCCATAAAATTTTAAATGTGAAGCACTACCCACTTATATATTCTGAAAATGTTGTGCCCCCCCCCCCCCCCCCGCGTTTGAAAAATTCTGGAAAAAGATAGCAGCACGGGCTGATTTACAAATCTAAAGACTGTCTGAAACTTATTCTGTGTCGGGGGAAGGGGTCTTTGTTCTTACTTTAGGCAATGAACTCTCTATGAGTTGGAAGGATGTAGCTGCTCAGAGGCGGATCCAGAAATGTCCAAAAGGGGGGGGGGGGGAAGAAAGTTGGGCCGATTGAGACAACACTGTCGTAAGGAGTCCGGGGGCATGCCCCGCGAAATTTTTGTGTTCTAGACGCCCGAACATAACATTTCAGGCATTCTTGGCCATCATTTTTTTCTTTTTCTTTCTTTTTTTTTCTTTTTTTACCTCCCGAAAGGGGGGGCCGGGGCCGGGCCGCCCCCCCCCCCAAGTCCCTGCTGCTTGTGCATTTATTATGTCAAATAAAACAAAAATAAAGCGAAATGTATAGGTACTGACAACTTCACAAAAGTATCTAAATGACAGTGTAGGATTTCGAATATCTTGATGCAGAGTTTTTTGTTTAACGGTGACGAGCATCTTACAGAAAGATATCTTCATGATCAATAGCGAATCTGTTCGTTAGTAGTGAAATTAAATAACCGAATAAAAATCAAACATCTAAATAATGTCACTTGGGACACATCCATCCATGTTTACAAAAAAATGTCGGCGAAACGTCCTATCGGCAAACTGGCATTCGGCGAAATGTCGTGTCAGCGAAATGTCGTGTCCGCGAATGGTATTTCGGTCAATTGGCCACGGTTTTGAAGTAGGACTTCTTATTAACAATATGCCCTACATTGACGAGAGGTCAGGAGGGGATCATTACTTTTGTTATAAAGAGAAGGACGTTTGGAATAAATTCTTAAAAGAAAAATAACGCTCTCGACTTCATTGGTGTCATTTTTAAGTTTAAATAATGAGGTATAACTCCTTATTGCTATAGTAATGTATTTTAAACTTACCTCCCTGTTTTTAACTTCACTGGGTCCAGTAATATAGTGATCTAAAGTTACTTTAAAATTGCGTAATGGTAATCGCCGATAAATTCAATTTACATTTTATTTAGGAGCTACTGTACTATATGTACGGTGTTAATATGGTCCAGCTACAAATAAAAAAGTATGGGTTCTTTTTTTGAAAATAAGGAACCGATGATACATGGAAATTCAAGGTCATGTAGTGCCAAAGAAATGTTTCTCATGTGGTATCTCATCGTTTTATGAATACATGAAAATTGGTAGGCCTATATGGTTTTGTGTGCGGACTATATGCATCAAAAAACAGTCTAATAATTTCCACTGTTAATTATCTTTATTGGTCATTCAAGTATGGTACTAAAATGGAATTACTTTTTACATTGAGAGGAATTATGAATCCAACCACTGAAATATGCGAACTTGTTTTTTTGTTTGTTTTTGTTTATGCATTTGTAAGTTTATTTAAGCAAGAGGCAGATGAGTGTCAGTGTAATCGAATTGTGTATTTCTATTTCAAATACAATCACATTTGTTTTAAAATTTATTTTGATATGGGCATTGTCTGAAGTAAAAAGAAATTCGCCCCCTGGAGTACTTTTGATACTTTTTAATCGAAACTCGACCACGCCCACTTTGCTTTCGTCGGGGAAATCAAAGTTCAAAGAAATCTCCTCCGGGAGATCTGGTTAAATGAGCTTTCTCAACATATAACAATAATGAAAATCATTATTATATTATATATATTTAATTTTATTTTGCTGCACATGGGCATACCCATCAGCACTGACTCCATGAGACAATTGATAATAAAGTAGTTAAAATATGCATATGAGATGGGTTATTTTGACAACAGTTAAGGAATATTAGCCCTATCATATACAGTAGATGAAAACAGTGGAGAAATGTAGCCCTATCATATACAGTAGATGACAACAGCTGAGAAATGTAGCCCTATCATATACAGTAGATGACAACAGTTGAGAATGTAGACCATCATATACAGTAGATGACAACAGTTGAGAAATGTAGCCCTATCATATACAGTAGATGACAACAGTTGAGAAATGTAGCCCTATCATATACAGTAGATGAAAACAGTAGAGAAATGTAGCCCTCATATACAGTAGATGACAACAGTTGTTAAATGTAGCCCATCATATACAGTAGATGACAACAGTTGAGAAATGTAGCCCATCATATACAGTAGATGACAACAGTTGAGAATGTAGCCCATCATATACAGTAGATGACAACAGTTGAGAATGTAGCCCATCATATACAGTAGATGACAACAGTTGAGAATGTAGCCCATCATATACAGTAGATGACAACAGTTGAGGAATGTAGCACTATTATATACAGCAGATGACAACAGTTGGGGAATGTAGCCTTATTATATAAAGTAGATGACAACAGTAAAAACACCCGACAATCAATATATAATAAAAAATCAAGCCATTTAATTATATGACAAATACCATGATGAGTATTGTAGAGAGAAATAAATGATTTTATTAAAACTTTCAGAAAAAGCTAGCCATAATGATCTAAGCATGAAGCTATACCAATTGTCCCTTACTATTACCGTTCACACCCCTCTTCATGTTAGGCGTACTGCAATTGCTGATGTCTATATTGTCACATCAATGATTATTCATCAGAGGGCGGATGTTTGAATAGTGGATCTGTTCCAGGAACATTATCCATCTTATTTATTTTAAGTATTAGAAGTAGAATTAAGACATGTATGGTATTCACCATATATCAACAGTAGTACTGTACTGACAATATGAATTGGTGCACACCTACCAATCCCAACATCCTGGGTACGATCCTTGCAAAAGGTCAGCACTCCACAATGAAATTTGAATATAGAGCACCACACTTCATTGGATCATGGAGGAATTACCTCCATGATTGGATGGATATGGTGTCAACCTTAAAAGAATATGTAACCACTTCCCAAGTATGAAAATTATTCACTGGCAAATGTTTTCAAATCACATGGATATATTTGAAGCTCTTATTATATATCTATATAAATATACTTTGTTATCTTTTATAATTAACTAAAGTTAGTTCCATAAAAATACACATTAAACTAAATTGAAATTGTCATCAACTATAAATTTTAAGTACAATACAAATGTATACTGCCTCCTACTTGGGATGCTCATTTGATTTTTCCTGATTTAACAGTTTTTGCATTTGGAAGCACACATTGTTGTCCATTAAGTAACCTACAATAATAATACACATAGTCCCTACTAGAAACTAACAAGTCCAGTTTATTCCTGTAAATGCAGTCAAGTTTATTACTGTAAATACTGTACCTTCATCACTTCCATTTAGCAAATAAAAACACTTAATTGCTATTACTATTAGGCAGTAATAAAACAAGTACAGTGTATTAAGTACTGAATTTCTGTACTTTATATGTATCACTTTAACTTAACAAAATAAAAACACTTGATTGCTATTTTTTAGGCAGTAATTAACAAATCCGGTTTATTATGAAAATGACATCTGTACATTGTATCTTCATCATTTTCAATTGCTTTCATTTCATAAACACTTTCACATGTGCATTTAGAAGTCTCTTTTAAGAACAAGTTGTTAATACTGTTTTCTTTCTTTCAAATCCACCATAAAACTGGGCCTACAAAAACAGAAACATTTATGAGAAATAAAGTGTACTGTCCTTGTAATCGAAATTACAATGACTCACTGCTGCCTCAAATGCTTCCACACAATTTGATATTTTGTTGATTAATTAACAAACCCAATACAAAGTATATTAGTATTTTTGGAATGCTAGTTGTAAGCAAATATACAGAAGTGCTTCAACTTAAAATACAGTTTTCCCCGATGACTTTTACAGAGTTTATATAATTCACTCGAAAATATTTATGAATAGGAACACCTATTATGAATATCATAAGAAATTATTAATTTTCTAAAAATGTTTCCTAATTAAAACCTTGCAAATAAAAAATGCTTCTTATGAAAATTATTTATAAGTCACTTTACAGACAAGGTATGCACTGGAAGACTTTTTTGTGGACAAAAGTGAAAACACCACCTCCCATCACCATTTTTTCCCTCCCCTCCCTCCTCTTCCTGTTTACTTTGGTTACCTTTGAACTTCAGGCACTCAGGCAAGAGTAAAAAAAATTCTTAATTATTTAAAAAATATATTTCATTTTAAATTGAATTTGATCATATAAATGCATTTGTGATCGATTTTCACAACAAAAGTAACAGTTAAATAGAATAATTTGTATCCTCCAAATTGAGTACCTTTTGATCTACACTGTCTTCCAATTTTTGATATTTAACATCGCTAAATTTTGAACTATTTTTTCTAATTTTTAGGTAAATACAAGAGGATAATAAAATGCAAAATACTATAAGGATGAAAAACATACTGAGAGTTTTAACAAAGGGTCTACTATGTAAAGGAAGGTACACAACAACACAATATGTATCACGTTTGATGTAGTCTGCATGGCAATCAATACACTCAGTGGCCATACCACCATAACAGGTTAAGCACGACTTATGACACTGGTCACATGACTTTTCGAATTCTGTGTCTTTCAGATAGAAACCACTCGGACAATCATTCACACTACTCCGTCTACTTGTACATCCGTTTATTCCGGCCCCAATACATGTTTCACAGTCTTTATGGCAGGGTAGGCAAGACTCTGTAAACACTGTGTTGGTTAGTTCATGGCCTTCAGCTACTGCAACTCTATAATTACCCTTAGGACATGGTGTGGTTGTTGGACGTTCTTGCATGCAATCAGTGTCTTCCCCACCATGGCAAGTGTAGCAACGTTGATGGCAGTGTTGACAGATGCCTAGGCCATGATCAAGGTACGTGCCATCTGGACAGTAATCATTTGATATTTCTTCCTTTTCAAGACACTGCAATTCATTTGGACCAGAGCAGGTTTTACAATCTGCATGACATGCTTTGCATGTGCTTGTAGCAACATCAAGATAGAATCCCACAGAGCATGAGTGAAGCTCTTGTGTCGTTGGAAGCTCTTCTGAGCAACTTCCTAATTGGTCGCAAATCAAACAACCTTTGGCGCAAGCCATGCATTCCCAAATGTTCTCATCAAAATATGTGCCAGTGACAACCTCTCCAATAGTAATTTTTCCACAATCTGGGGTCTCTTTCTTTTCGTTGCATCCAATGATTTCTCCTGTAAAACATGTCTTGCATGATCGATGACAGACGTCACATCCCCCCAAGTTATTGAGGTACCAGCCAGCTTTACACTGAGTACACGGCATGTACTCCGGACCATCGCATTTGCTACAAGCAGCATCGCATTTAATACACTTACCAACTGCCTGCTCATAATCATTATCATTAACTCCAAAGGGAAGAGATCCATCGAGACACTTAATACACATGGTATCCCCACTTGCGATGCAGAGACCACAAGATGGATGGCAGGGATTACAATGGATTTCTCCATTTAAATTCAGTTCTTTGTAGTAACCAGGAGAACAGTCAGGTTTAGTGGTGGTTGTTTGAAATGGTTTATGACTGGTGGTTTTCAGAGGTTCATTAACAGAGAGTGTGGTCTGCTTACTGGTTAGGTTATTCAATGTACTACTATTTGTTGCTGGTATCGTAGTAAGTAGTTCCGTCCTTGCCACATACTGTTTTGTGTGGCTGTTACTCTTTGTTGTTGATTTATCCATCGGTGGATTTGTGAGCTTGATGGTTGATCCTTGCATGATGGTAGTCGTTTGCTTGGTGGATGGTAAAGGTATTTTGGTACTAGGTAAAGGTTTTTTGGTGGTTTTTTGCATGAAGGTAGTTGTTTGCTTGGTGGTCAGTAGAGGCTTTTTGGTACTAGGTAAAGGTTTTTTAGTTGTTATTGCTAGTGTTTCGGTGGTTTTCCTCTTGGTTGTGGGTTCTCTGGTTGTTGGTTGTATTTCTGTGATTGGATTAGTCTCTGTGCCATATAATTTTAATGTCCAGGAAGTTAAGAAACCTAATAAAACAATGAGACAAAATAGACATGAGTCGAACTGCATTAACAAAGACAGATTAAGATACAGATTATTTAAGACATTTTTTGCAACTTTCAGTTTTTTCTTTTATTTTCAATGTCATTTGTACGTCATTTTATTTACTCATCTTGGATTCTTGTGAACTATTGGCATTAATTGTACTGTTTTATTTTTTTATACACATCTACCAAGCAATACAATCTTCTGTTTCTTATAGGGACCAATAAAAATCTTGATGAAAAACAATGATATTGTGTGCTATAATTAGTTAATAACTATAGGCATGTTTCAGTACATAAGCCTTTCCCCCTAAACTCAATGCTAATCATATTATTACGCAGAATATTACACTGATGTATTTACAGTATTTAGCTATTTTTTGATGCATCTGAGTGTTTGAATTATTAAAGGTATATTGGTATTGTTTGATAATTCTACATATATTTGAATGGATCTATATGAACATGAATACATACCAGTATGAGATGAACTTCCTTGGTTTTGGATGTCCAGGGTCCAGGGGCCTGCCGGCTGCTCTCCCCAAGTGTGCGTGCTCATAAACTCCCAGTTTGAAAACCCGGTGCTCGCAGAATCATGTTGTCTTTTGGGCAACAACATGGCCCTGGTACCCATGGGGGATGTCAGATGGATTACGAGATCTCCGCGTCGGGGAAAGGTGATGGAGAGGACTGCATGAACCTTCTCCAAGTAGAGTACATTCTCTGTTGTTCCTGTGCAACCATCACTTACAAAATCTACAGATAATTTACCTCGGATTTGTCTGAAAAAAAGTTATAAATTCAGATGAATACTGAAATGATTGGATAACATTTTAAACAAATCGAGAAAAAATGCAAATGTTTAAACCATTAAACCAAATCCATATGAATGACTTCACAGAAATGTGTTGAGGATAGTACAACAATCCTAAGGAGTGGAGCTGTAGCTTGTTGGTTAAGATGTGTGCTTTTACTTCAAGGAAGCAGAGCTATTAGCTGGATGGTTATTGTTTTTATTGTTCAAGGGTGTGGCCTGGTCGATTTAAAACCTGTCAAATCGAGGATTTGTTTTTCTCACAACTAAAAAACAACTCCACAAAATTAAACAAAGTCTTAGTTTTTATATTAGGTATTGATCTATTCTGTTACTGCTGTTGGATGTCAGACTAGCAAAGACTAATGTTGTTGTGATCGTTTCAATATTAGATTTGATTATTCGTACATATCTACATATATGTTTACGTTCCTGCAAGTATGTATCAAGTTTGAGTAAATACTTACTTGCGTTGTTGGACAGCAGTCTGGGTACATGTACGCATAGGAGGCACAGTTGTCCATCTTAAAGCTAAATCAACCATAGCTGAGGCATCCATTAAACCAAATCCATATGAATGACTCACTGCAAAAAATTTTTTTTTAAAGAGGTTCACAACATCACTGATGCATAAGGCCTCGATATTTTAATTGCTCCAAATTGTTGGATAAAATTGCGAAGATTGTAGAATCAATGTTTGCGCCCCCATCGGTATTTGCATGTATTTGATGCATTTACACTATTCTTTTCAGAATAATATTTTCAGAGGTCCATTAAATAAAATTCAATTCAATAATAATCATACAGTGGTATAGACCAGTCTTTTGAAAATACTTTCCAACAAAATTATTTGCATGGAACACTCCATTATGGAGTTACAATATTTTCAATAATAGGCCTATGTCTGATTTGTGAAAATGGTGTATGATGAGATTTCTTAGCAAGAGTGGCCATGATTGGTGAAATTAAGCAACATGATAGACCAATAAATAAGATGCCTTCATTTGACAAATCAACCTGTTTAGTACAAGGAAGTTTTTCAAATAGGCCTAAAACCTTAATTTTTTATGAATTCCCAGACAAATTTTGAAATCCAAACAAATTATAGATTTTGAAATAAATTAAATCTGTGACTGTGCGAAATACAAACCTTTATATCCAGCTCCATTTGTTGACCAATCATTGGCTCTAAGCATGTCAGGCTTGGCTGTGTTAACCACAATATGCTGCATGTCTCGCCAAGTGAGGCTAGGGCTAAAAAGAGAAATCAAAGTACAGTAATAATAATAAAGAGTCTGAAGCTGAGAGGATTTAAAAACTGTCGTGACTGATATTCCTCATTTTCTGGATATAACAATGATGCTAATGGTTGCTTTTCACTTCATACTTTAAACTGCAGAAAATGTGGTTTTTTTTTCAATGGCACTCCTCATGTCAAAGAATGTGGTGTTCCATGGCATAAATTTTCCGCTCAATTCTTTTTCTTTACATCATTTTATTACATCAACTAAATTATGAAATTTGTTATGCCAACAATATTCATCTGTACATTGCGACCTGGCTACTCAATCGTCTCAAGGACTTTCATAGCAGGTTGTTAAATGAGAACCAGAGTTCAACAACAATGATAAAGGTCGATTACGAAACACATGATTGCAAGATGCGACATCAACAAACACATTGCATAACAGTATAATCAAACATTCACTCCAGCTTATCTGTCTGCTCAGCAAAAGTATGGCAGGTCACCAATTGTATGGCAGGTCACCCATTGTATGCTATTTCACCAATTGTATGGCAAGTCACCAACTGTATGCCAGGTCACCAAGTATTCTAAATATATTTCTGTTGCCATAGTTTCCAGAAACAGAGAATAATTCTACACAGAGACATGATTTTTCCTGTTGTTGCTTGTCTGTAGCTATATTGACCATTGTACGGACATTTTGATTGACCAGTAAAGACATTAACAGAATAGTAAACAGTAGCATAGTACAGATGCCATGTACGTTGGGCGACATTAAATCTGATTTCAGCAATTACAAGCTAATCCACTGAAGTGACAAAACATGAATCAAAGGTTCATGGCATTTGCTGCACTGTTATACTCATTGAAACTGCTAGAAAGTAAATAATTAAACTCAAGAATACGCATTTAAATATCCTAATTGAATGCTATAGCAGTCTTTGGGGGATTTTAACACGTTAACCATGTTTCATGCCAGTGTATATCCTGGCCCAAGTAAGTTAAATAGATACCACAATTATTATGTTTTTTAATGCTTACTATTGTTAGGTAACTTTTGAAATAGTGGATTAAGCTTTTTTAGGGCTTGACGATATTGATATAACATATGTTTGGTGCTGAGATTTGTATTTTATAATGTGATTTTCCTGTTTCCTTCTTAAGGCCAATATGTGACCTGTTAGCCAGCCAGCCTGCCAAATTATACTTGAAAAATGTAAATTTGAAAATACACTATGTAAATAAATAAATATTATGTATTATGATGGTGAGCTTTGTCACTGACTTACTTGGCTTCTAATGCAAGTGCACAGATTGCAGCTGCAAGGGGTGCCGATGCTGATGTACCACTGTGTAGCTTGGTACATTTTTTCCTAATATCAACTGTCACCTATTACAAAAGACAATTAAATAATTAAACAGTTAGGAACATTATAAAAAAGTGGCCTGATTTGTTTTCCCACATATGCTGTGTTTCATAATAGTTAAAATTTTCTATATACTTGAATAGATAATATAAATTAATTACAAAAATCTCACATAAAAAGAAATAGCAGGTAACAATTTATTTGCAATGTTTGATATTCACAGCCAGAGCCAGGTTTATTGTTCAATGTTACAAACCACCCTCCCCTCACCCTTTCCCTTCTCTGTTGGACAGCTCATCCCTTGGTCAGGCAATTCTGGCACCACCACTGGGCCACAACATAGTTTCTATACCTGAAGGGTTTGTCTGCCCAAGAATGCATAGACTCACCAAAGTTTTTAAAGGCTGACTTTCAAGTTGGTCAATCAAAACAAAATTAGATACATTCAACAAACACTTAGTAATTACATTTAAAGTCATGTATTCATAAAGGCTAATCATATGTCACTAAATGAATAAAATACTTTAAATGTGATTGGTCATGACGGAGACCCTATTTATATGTGATTGTCATATCTTACCACTTGTCTTTCATTGCCGCCTCCACTACTGTATGTTGTTGCGAGGGTTGAGGCGCATTTCTCTGAGTACCATGGTACATCTCCTTTCTCAGAGACACTGCTGACAGATAAAGTGTAGATGGTATTGGTGTAACCATCACAATTACAACTGTCCATCATGCGACCACCGTTTCCAGATGCCCATACAAATATTGAGCCAAGACCTCCTCTTCCCTGAATAAGTTATCAAGAGATAATCCTTAATATTCAATTCAATACAAAAAGAAACATTCATTGATTTAAGCATTTAGAACAATTGTACAACATCAACAATAATATACCAAATAGCAGCTAAAACCTCAACAAAAAAAGGTAAACATTATTGAAATTTCATATTGTTCTCTACGGCTTTATTTGAAATTCACTCTGAAATAATATTTAACACTGTATATCAATATAATAATTATTTAATTGTTAATAGTACCCGTAATAAAATTACAAATAACAACATCAACATTTATTCTTATAAAGTTTGTATGCTTTTTTACTGAAATTATACATAATACAATTGTTGTAGTAATTACAACAACTTATGAGAAAATATAAAATTTATCTTCATAAATTCTGTTCTATCAACTGTTAGCAATATTCCACAAAGTTAATATAAGTATACTGTAATGATACTATCAGTCAAAAAACAGAAAAATACCTCAAAATTATTGAATCTTTGAAATGAGCCTATTAAATTTGTTTTTAATTTTTGATGTGTTTTCCCTGTATATTGACTGATAGTACGTTTTTAATGATACATTTATTAATGCACTTAATCACTTTGCAATGAGTGTACCATGTGGACTACGAAATAGTTATAAATGAAAACTAACTGACTCGACATTAAAATTAGTTTGTTCATATATCATCACCAAGGGAATGACAATAAGCTATGAATTTATATATTCAATTATTGTGACTTGGGTTTTCTTAAAAGCAAAATTTGTTTTTTATATTGCTATTCAACCATTTATCATGTTATGGTCACCAGGGCAATAATACTTTCCCTGTTTTTAATTAAGAAAATGACAATAAATGATGAATGAAAGAACAAGCATCGAGCATCTAAAGTGCACTGCATCATACAGTACATGATTACAAGTAATTAATTATTCAACTATGTTTTCAAAGGTTGACTCTCATTGGACTCGAGAGACCTGCAATACAACAGTTGTAAAATATGAGAGTGACCAAAATATAAAAATTCATTGTTATTCTCTACGTTGTAAGCTATAAAATGATGGGTCATTTACTGGCACTGGAATCAACTTACTATTGCCAATGTTATGAGGACAATAATTTATTTCATCAAAATAACATTAAAATCTTGACAGACAAATTTTGCCAATTCTTTGCAAAAAGAACATGGAGAAAGAGGTGTGATCTTTTAAAAATTAAATTAACTATGTGGTGTTGTGTTAATGTTTTTAATTTTAATTATTACTTTACTGTATTTTACTTTCATGTACCATATACGTATGAAGTACCATCCATATGAGGCATGCCATCCCAAAACCAGCATACTGTTGCTAAATGTTAAACTGAGTAATAAGTACAAGAATGTGCCAGTATTGTATAGTTTAGCATTTCAAATGTTTCAAACATAACATCCAGAATAATACAGTTTACCCTCTAATCTAATTTGAGACCATTTTGGGGTGGTCTCAGGGTTTGGTCTCAGGGTTTGGTCTCCACTTAGAGGGTTAGCTTAATTTTGATACTTTGAAAAAGTTGTCTTGAATTAGAAGGGTCTCAGAATTAGAGGGGACTCGAATTAGAGGGTGCACTTTATAGCATCAAATGTCATATAAAAGAAATATTAGCAGACGAATAGTAAATACTCGACAGAACAAAATAGCTGCGTAATGACTGCGATACACGCTGTGTAATCAAGGTTGTTTCAGCTTGTGGCTGTATGGGTTTTTCATAAAACAATGTTTTCATGCAGTTTTTGAATTCTGTTAACCTACAATTATTTTTTGACTTTTTATGTGGGTAAATATTATATTTATTATTTTCTAAAATTTAATCTAAATCATATTAACACAAATGTTGTTGCTAAACTGACCAATTGGCTATGTTTGTTTTGGTCATATGAATAACTTATTTCAGCAACGGGAACCAGTAGTCACATGATATATTTAGTACCGTTAGGTATAACTTACAGTGTGATTATTGTAAAAGTACAGAAAATGGTAATGTTATTATTGTAATACTGTAAACACAAGAAATGAATGGCAAGTAAAGGCAACATGATTGTTCAAAATAGTGTTTATATACTGTGCATTTTAGGCTTTTTGCAATTTATGTAATCCTTCGTGAACCTTGAGAGAGCCTAGAAATTGTAGCATCTCTCATTCGCAATTTGCAGATGATAAATGAGGCTTATAAGTTATAATGGCAATCATGAAAATCCCAATTATGCACATTTTAAAAACAAAAGCTAATCCCTATGGAATAATTTTGAAATACATCTATTAAAGTGTGAAACAGCATGTGCAATGGTGATATGTGGAGCCAGTGGCGTAGCTACGGGCAGTGCAGCCAGTGCAAAGTACTGGGGCCCAGGGCTATTAAGGGCCCATTCATAGACTTAAAAAAAATAATTAGAATTTTTTCAAATTGAGGAGATTAATTATTGATTACTGTGTTCAATGATGTATTCAAGCCTGGGGCCCCAGCCTGCCCGACCTCTTATTTTTTCAAAATTATAAAAAAATGGGGGTAAAGGAAATTATATTCATTATATTATAAGTCTGAGAGTGTCATTTCTGATTATTTGGAGGTGCTATAATCATAAATTTGAAGTGGTCTCCCTCCTCCAGCTGTGAAAATCTCTCCCTAGCCCATCTATTCGAATTTCCTGATCCGCCACAATAAATTGTAAAATTTCATGTGCCACCAATTTTAAAAAAAATTAGCTTAGAGCAGCTGCTGCTCAACAGATTATGCCCCTCTTAAAATACTTACGAATCCAATTATCAATAGTATTTAGGAGTAAGGGGTAAAAAAAACAAAAAAAAAACACTTCTTACAATGGATTTTCTGAGAACTACAGTAGGGAATTCCCCCATCAGTGTCACCAACGGGACTGGCAATTGATCTTGCACTGGGGCCCTTTCGCACTTAGCTACGCCGCTGTGTGTGGCTATAAGCGGAATACTTTGTACCATCACATGACCTCGACATTTGTTTTCACTCTGTTATTTGACGATAGTCATGAATACAGCATATTTATGAGATATTGTACACTATGATTCTGATATGAAATATGATGTAATGTAAATGCAACAATATTATCACATGATAATGATGACAACCATCAAAACATGGATTAAGATTATGACAATTATGATTATGATGATGATAATTGTAAATGACAATGAAAATAATAAAAATGATGATCATCATTAATGAAATGATGATAATTATAAATGATAATAATAATAATAATTTGATTATGATAAAGATCAGGTTTTGACAATACTTCAATGGAGGGATTCAGCTTATAGAAAATAAAAACCAATTATCAATGATTATGACAATGATGGTAAGAATAATGATGCCAATTATGACTACAATGATACTGATAACTATTTTGATATTATAGCATCACCAAAATCAGTATAATCTTGCATCTTACCTTCAGTGCACCATCTTCAAACACTTTGCGTGCCATCTTGCCAGGTCCATCTACAGTCTTCCCGTCATCATCAGGACCCCAACTAGCGCTGTAAATATCTACATGTTGCGGGTTATGACTCAATGAACGAGCTTCTACGGCATCAGTTACATCACCATCAAGCATCCGTACACCTATATACAACATAGGACATAGTATCATTATCAAACATTCATGCACGTGTGCGGGATGAAGAAAAACATCAGTAAGAAAAAAAAAATATGACCATTAACTATTCATACACCACTTATAAGACAAATGATATCAGCAGTAAATACATTTTACATTCAAATCCTCATTCCTGGAAAGGGAAGAGTAAAAAATAAACAACTATCCTACACATACATCACAAGTGAAAGTCAGAAAATAAACAAATATATACCTATGGTACATGGAGAACAACCATCACTAAAACCATTAAAAACCCTTTTACACACACAAGAAAAATTAAACTTTTAAACAAACAAGAAATGAAACACTTCTCTTTGGTTACTTAATGTCAAGGGAAACTTTCACAGTCAGTAATTAGTAAAAAGGGTAATAATCATTAACATATAAACGTCCAAGTACAACCATTAGATGGTTTCTTTAAAGGTTACTTTACACAATTTGCATCTGACTACAACCATTAAATGCAGTCTTAAAGGTTACTTTAAGAATAAGTAACCTCACAGCCTAATGCATAAAGCATGGTGTAATCAAAATTCAAAAGGAAATAAATTGCCATATTCCGAGTGTAAGATCAAAGATTAGAACAAAAAATGTCTTGAAAAAATGTACTAAACTAAATCAGATGTTTAAAGAAGTGGGAACACTTTTTTTTAAAAAAAAATTAAAATTGCAATTAAAATGTAAAGTCTAGAATTTTTGATGTAAATTATTATCATTGGATGTAAATTATATTCTATAATATATTACACAATTTCTTTATTCATTTATTTACAGGACTACATTCGTTGAGAGCTATGCTACACGATGTATTTATTAAGTCCTTTATTCGAACACTGTATTTACCTTTCTTTGATGATTTATATATATATAATATAATATATATATAAATCGAAAGTAAGATATTAATTTTTTTTAATGAATCACTGTCCACAACGAGAGATTTTCTTCAGTATCTGCAAAAACATACACCATGTTTTTTTTTTAAATTTTGTTAAAAACCATCAAACATTAACAATGTGATTGTTTAGAATCATTACTATGAATCATTGTATGAGTAACATCTGGTAACCAACATGTACGGTAGATTTGCCGGATGTATAAACTATATCATAATACTACAATAGTTCCTGTAACAAAAGAATTTCCTGCAAATTTAAACAGGACACACAACTTTACCTGTTTTCATTGGAAAAATCATATCTTGGCTGTGGATCATTATCATTGCCGTTGACATCATAACTTGCATCAGGATCCTAAAAAGTCATAAAAATATTTAAAACATTTTCTAATGCTCTGTGAAATAAGTTACTATGAACTTGCTTTAAATACTAATAAAGAAAAGAAATACGTTCGTGAAAGTTGTCACACAACATGAGAAACCATAGTGCTAATTTTTTAATTTTAAATAAGTCTTTCATACAGCTAGCTCCATCATCATCCACCTAGAAACGTAATGTACAGTGTAGCTAATTATGTTGGTATTATAGTATTAAAATATATAACATATTCGGCAATTATACTTATAGTTAAATTCATTTTTTTATGTAGAAATACTTTTATCGTTTTCTTTAATAATTTTCTGATGATATGCAAGATGTTTTCTAGAATTTCTGTTATTACATAATTATTGTTTTGAGAATAAGAGTTTGAGCATGGTGTGCTCTTACGTACTTGGTGAAGCTATACAACCAAAAAGCAGTAAATTGTCTTAAGCCTTGTTCGCACTGGATTTAAAAAATGGTAAATTTAACCAGGGTAACTTTAACCAAAGTCATGGGTACATTTCACCATTGTTCGCACTTGGATTATTCACGCGGCTAGTTTTACCAAGATTTAACCTTGTGTATAAAAAATATTATTGAGGGCGCTAGTTTGTGACTTCAACTTCCGGTTTTGTTCGAGCGGTGTCAACATGGAAGAAGACAAAATGGCTTCAGGCAAAAAAACAAAAAAAAACAAAAAAAAAACTGGACATACGAGGAAACTTTGATAACTTTATGGGGAGGTAGAGAAAGCCAGGCAGGTCATGAACTCAGAAAGTTTTAACCGTGTTGCACGTTCGGATTGGACTTCTTGACCAGCGTGGTTAGTTTAACTGAGACCGTGGTAAGTTTTACTGGGCAGGCTGAGGTCGGTAAAATTAACCATTCTGCTTGGTTAATTTAACCCTGAGGGAATTGTAACCGACGTTCGGATTGGATTTTTTTGGTCAATTTAGCCAGTGACTTGGTTAATTTGACCAAATTAAGTCTAGTGCGATAGGGGCTTTTGAAAATCTACACTCTATCAACACCACCAAATTTCATGAGACAAATAACTACTGTATGATATGCCCACATTTGGATGTAGAATGAAACCATATATTGGCACATCACACAAATTTATCAGATAAAATTATCAAATTTCAAAGTAAAGCCAACAGATAAACATTGTTTGCATTTATACAAAACCAGATCAGGATGTCAGCCAGGTAAAGTTAAACAACTTTGCATTATAGAATTAGATAATTCACACTGCAGCATACAAAATATACTATTTTATGAAGATCAGAACCCCTTTTGGAAATGAGAAAGAAATAAAAAAACAAAACAACAAAAAGAAATGACATTAAATTAGAATAACATAGAATAGACAATGGCAAACAGAATGGAATAGAATGAGGCAAAATTTATTAGTTAACAATTACAAAATAGAATGCAGTAGACTATGTAAAAATATAATTTTAACAACAGCGACCGCTCACCGGTCTGCGCGTTCCTCCAAAAACCAGTAAATAGTCTTAGAAAATTTACACTCTATCAACACTACCAAATTTCATGTGACAAATAACTATGATATGCCCATATTAGAAAGTATAATACATACTGTACTCCAAGTATTGAAATACACGCCATTGTGTTGGGATTCAATATTTGACATTAATTATGTCATCATCAGGAATGCCCATATTTGGATGTAGAATGAAACCATATATTGGCACATCACACAAATTTATCAGATAAATTATCAAATTTCAAAGTAAAGCTAACAAATAAACATTGTTTGCATTTATACAAAACCAGATCAGGATGTCAGCCAGGTAAAGTTAAACAACTTTGCATTATAGAATTAGATAATTTACACTGCAGCATACAAAATATACTATTTTATGAAGATCAGAACCCCTTTTGGAAATGAGAAAGAAATAAAAAAGCAAAACAACAAAAAGAAATGACATTAAATTAGAATAACATAGAATAGACAATGGCAAACAGAATGGAATAGAATGAGGCAAAAGTTATTAGTTAACAATTACAAAATAGAATGCAGTAGACTACATAAAAACATAATTTTAACAAGAGCGACTGCTCACCGGTCTGCGCGTTCCTCCAAAAGGCAGTAAATAGTCTTAGAAAATCTACACTCTATCAACACTACTAAATTTCATGTGACATATAACGATGATATGCCCATATTTGGATGTAGAATGAAACTATATATTGGCACATCACACAAATTTATCAGATAAAATTATCAAATTTCAAAGTAAAGCTAACAGATAAACATTGTTTGCATTTATACAAAACCAGATCAGGATGTCAGCCAGGTAAAGTTAAACAACTTTGCATTATAGAATTAGATAATTCACACTGCAGCATACAAAATATGCTATTTTATGAAGATCAGAAACCCTTTTGGAAATGAGAAAGAAATAAAAAAGCAAAACAACAAAAAGAAATGACATTAAATTAGAATGTAAAATAACATGGAATAGACAATGATGGCAAACAGAATGGAATAGAATGAGACAAAAGTTATTAGTTAACAACTACAAAATAGAATGCAGTAGACTACATAAAAACATATTTTTAACAAGATTGACCGCTCACCGGTCCGCGCGTTCCTCCACATTTAAATACAGTAAAAGCGCAAGTTATTATATTGGGTTTTTTGGAAAAGCTATCAAGACAGGAATTTTTAAATTAGGATGTTTATTTGTACAAAAAATATTATTATTTAGAATGTTCATTTTACAAAATTAAAATATCTTAAATTAAAAAAATAAAATTCTTAAAATTGGGGGAAAAAAATTGAATACCAAGACGCGATTCGAACTCACAGTTCTTTAGAACACATCCTTAACCGACCGCGCCATCCATGCGACGTGCCCTATTAGTGGTAATGGCAGTAATGTACAGTCCTTGCTGAAACCATGGCGGTATTATTGAGAAGATCACTTGAAAAATCTCTGTGCATGCAGCGCTATGCAAATGAGCCAAGAACAAAGCTGCTGCAGCGCGTGAAGAATGTTTGCATGATGCCTTTGAAGTCTAAAGCCTGGTTTCCTGTCGACGTAAGAAGGCAGATTTACTTACGATTACGTTGTTTTATCGTAAGAAAATGCGATTTGACAGGAAACCGATTACGACTGGTGCGTTGTGAAATCGACGTAACGTAAACTAAAATCGTCGCAAAACAGTTTTGGACAGGAAACCGACGTGTTGAATTTTCATGTGATACGTCGATTTTCCACTATTTGACAGGAAATCGCGATTTAGTGACTTTTTGTTGAATGAACTCGCATACGTTGCGTTGCAAACGATTCTTATGAAAAGTTGACTCCAAGTCAACTTTTCATAAGAAACGTAAGCGGAAACGTATGCTGTCTGTATATCTTGCCTATACAACAACATTGTCGACGAACTAGAAATCTCATTGACTCTTACGTATTTATTATAAAATGGTTAAAAAGAAGCATATCCTCCACTTTTTTCAAACACAATGATAGGCATGTAAAATCTTATAGATTTTGTTAGCCCTATACACAGTGGCGGCTCTAGAATATAATTTATGGGGAGGGGGGCCCTAAGTATTTATGGGTGTAACTATAGCGCGCATCGTTATCCGAGGGCCGAAGGCCGGATCCGGGGTATGGGAGGGATTGCTTGACTTCTTGATTGGCTGGGATGGGAAAACTAGGCCTATTTTTTTATTTTGGTCCGACTGCCCAACGACCTTTGGCTGATGGGTGGGGAGGGGGGCTTGACAAGACCGATGGGGAAATTACCAGACCGATGGGGGATTAATACCTCTGTCTCACCCCCCCACCACCCGACGGCGCAATTAGATTTAATAAATTACATTTATTATACAAAAAAACTTAAAGGCCTATAATATAAAAATTATGTATAAAACATTATAATATAGGGCCTAAATAAATAAATAAAATATAAAATATATAGGCCTATTGCCAGTTGGAATATTTTCTGTTAATTTCAATAAACAATTTTTTCAAGTGTATTTCATTCTTAATTTTAATTCATGTTTATATTATACAACCCGAATTTTAACATTTAAATCATGTTTTCTGTATAACTGTCTATCTGGAGATAAGATCTGTCAGTTCAAAACATAATATAATAAGGTGAAATGAAATAAACAAAGTACAATATAGGCCAAATTGATATTTTGAGAAAGAAACACTAAAATTAATAACGAGAAAGTTAGCAAATCGAGATTTGTAGGCCCTTATTCTGTACTACAGGACTAGACTATTGTTTAAATCCAACGGTGAAAATTGTCCTCGAATCTCGCCAGGTAATTTTAATGAGGATACCAGACAGGAAGTGAGAAATGTTAATATATCGCAGTCGCAAAGAAAAATTCTAACTTGACGTAACATGCATGTGACGACGTTAGAAGAGGCTTTGCTGTTCGAGCTTGAAAAATTCAACCTATCGTAAGAATCGTAACCGGCTTATTTTGTCTGCGGCCCAGCACGATCAAGGCGCGGCTGTTTTTGTCCAACTTCTCGTAACAGTCGTATGAATCGTAAGAAATTCTGAACTTTACATCGACAGGAAACCAGGCTTAATGTGTTCCCCGCCACCAAATGTTCAGCAGGCTTAGTTCAAAAATTGAACATGGCAAAATGGAGAGCACCTTCTATTTATAATGCGCACTACTTACAGTCAATCACTATGGCTGTGCAATCATTTCCACCTTGAAGCTAACACATTTAGCTTTCATGAAATACTAAACATATTAATACTGTACTTCTAGAAAAAAGAGTTTCAAATTTAATGAAACATTTACATGAGATTTAAAAGTATGGTACAGTATATATTCGTAACTTAAATTTCCATAAATTCAATGAAACTCGATAATTCTAATTTTAACAGATATTAATTACAGAATGATTGAGGATTATAATAACCTAAGTCATTTTAGTGTGAATGAGTTTGGACTATTCTAAAATTTAATCCAAAGTCTGAGTAACTTTCAATTTTACAAAGTCTGTTCGTGAAA